AAAAACTTGCTTTTCAGGCTGAGCCCGTGGCGCACTCAGGAGGGTGCGGCCGCGGGTTCGGATCCTATATGGGGATGACCGGTGCGCTCACAGCGCTCACTGGCTGAGAGCGGTGCGGCCAGTGTCAAAAAGGACAAAAAAAAAACAAAAAAAAAAACCTTGCTTTTCATAGAATACATTTTCACATTAGAGAGTACCACAGTGGGAAAATAACAATTGATTACTTATTGTTTTATATTTGTGGACAGATTATTTTAGGGCAAGTAAAACATTTGAGAATAGTCTCAGTTTAGAATTTGTAATATAGATACATCGACAAGAGGGACCTCTTCCCTAGATGGAACTTCTCTATATTCAGACGTTTCCTAAGCTTTCTTCTTAGGATTTAGAAATTTGTAATGTGAAATAACAGCATTTTCTAATTTTAAAGTTTCTGTAGGACATGTAACTATCGGTAGCTGGTATCAACTACACATAGAGGGAGGTTTTCAAAAATTAAATGTCTAATTTTCTGCAGTCTTTTCTCATGAATTCTTTCTTTTTGTTCATTATTCTCAGGACAAATATAGAATAAGTTTGAGCATGTATTCATAGTAATAAAGCTGAATTCTCTTTAAGAGATTGATAAATTAAAACACAAAAGCTCCTGTATAATATTTAGTTTTACCGTGAGTCTTGTGACAAGCTGGAAGACAACCCCATTAACTCACTACAGTACAGAACTTAGTCTCACAATTTCTTGAATATAATTCCTCTCAAACCTTTTCTTCAAAGATTAAATTCTGAAAATAACCACGTGATTAGAAAAGGTTTGTCCACAGATGGACTCACCTGTTACTTCCTTCTTATTGTGAGCTGAATGGCATGACAGAGCAGAGAAGCATACAATTAATTCTTAAGGTATTAAGTGAAAAAGGTCAGAGCTTCCACAGCATGGCAGCAGCTTTGCAGATGCCCACATCATGATGGTTGAAAAAATAACAAAGGCCAGGAAAGGTTAAAGCCAAGAGTGCCAAAAAGCCCGCCGTGGCAGCTTTCTGTGATGCACTTCCATGAACGAAGTAAGAACTTGTCCAAGGCCCCAGTGACTACAGAGAAAGAGGGCTGCAGCCAGGGAGTAATCAGTCCATCACAGAGCGAGGATTCAAATAAGCAGCTGGAATCAGACCCAGGAACAAAACAAATGGCGGCTGGGGAACAGGTGAATGTGTTGTGCTCCACACCATCCTGGGGTAGGTCAGTCCTGGAGAAATGCTGAGACATGAGCAGGTCTGTCCACTGGGGTCCTGAGAAACAGAGCTTGGCCTTCTTGGGCACTGCAGAGGACTCTCAGCCTTCAAAGGGCCAACATCCTGCCCCTCCAGTCAAAATTTTATAATTGTTATTTACTGAATTTTATCTTAATCCAAACTGCATCCTAAAATTCCTTTAGGTAAAGGAAAAATTTCCAGGTCCCTAGTCTTTATGCTGCCCTTAATTTATACTTTTGGTTCCATTATGTTCTAAGAGATGTAATGAACAATGAGTGTAGAGCTAGAGCTAGGGTCTGGAGCTCACAGACCCCTTGAGCCCATTCACAAACCCTTCACACACAGGTCTACGAGCTAGGTAACTGGACAAAACGGTCCTTGGAGCCTTGGTTGAAGAAGGAATAGTCTTTATTCAGCACACACAACACTATGAGCCAAGCAGTACAAAGGAGAAACTCAGACACTTGACTGCTACTGGCAAAGTCCAAGGACAGACAAACTGAGCAACTGTCAGCAGAATAAACACGCTCCATTTTTAGACGCGAGCTCTCTTCACAAACTGCAGAACACACAATAGCTAGGAAACTAAAGAGATACATTGGCACACATAGGCACTAACTCCACTCACACAACTTGTTTATAAGAAATGTCAAGGGAGCCTGACTAAATTATCCTATTTTCCCCATAATGAGTTTTTCTCAGTTTCTTCCGGCTAAGACTCATAAGGGATTGAGAAGTCATGCCACCACTCTCCTTCTGAATTTATTGTAGCGTGTATTTTATATGTAAATGACAGTGCCTTCTGTGTGAACAGAACAGCGTGGTAATGTTTTTATTAGATCCCCAGATCTTGTAGGCTCAAAGAATGAGACTGGAAATTGTCCTGGAGCCATCTCTCCAGGTATCACATTAACAAGTTATTAAAACTGGCTTGATCTTTATAAAAATACAGTCCCTGCCATTATATCAAAACTATAGTGTGCACTATTTCTAACTGGTTTTTTAAATTTTGAAATAATTTCACTGACGTAAAGTTGAAAGAATAGTACAAAAAAACTCCTGTATACCCTGTACCAAATTCTCCTATTGATGACACTTTACCACATTTACTTTATATTCTTTCTTTTGAAAGTTGAAAAAAAAAAAAAGTAAGTTTCAGACATGATGTCAGAATTACCCCTAAATACCTTGGTGTACATTTATTAAAAACAAGTCACTCTCCTACATAAAGCCACCAGAATCAGAAATTTAACATTGACCTAATACTACCATCTAAGCCACAAACCCTATTCAGGTTTTGCCAGTTGTCCCAATAATGTGTTCTTATTATGTGGCACAAGATGTTGATTTGTACCATTACTGTTTTTTTTTTTTTAAAGATGACCGGTAAGGGGATCTTAACCCTTGACTTGGTGTTGTCAGCACCACACTCTCCCAAGTGAGCCCCGGGCAAGCCCCCATTACTGTCATTTTTAACTTTGGTGTTACCTACCAGGTTTCTTCTCTATGAAATTATCTTTCCCTTTGTAATGAGTAAGTATCTCATGAAAAGATACTTTGAAATCATTTGAATATCTCATTCCTCTATAAAATTTCACCCTCCAATTTTAGCATCTGTTGATGATTCTTATTTGAATCACTTATTACTGTAATGGTTGTCAAATGGTGATTTTTTTTTTTTTTTTTTTACCTGTAAGGGGATCGCAACCCCCGGGAAGGTGTTGTCTGCCCCACGCTCAGCCAGTGAGCGCACCAGCCATCCCCATATAGGATCTGAACCCACGGCTTTGGCGCTACCAGCGCTGCACTCTCCCGAGTGAGCCACGGGGCCGGCCCCAAATGGTGATTTTCTAATTCCACCATTCTTTTTAAATTTAATAGTTGTCATTTTACCATAGATAAGCAATTTCTCTTCTCTTCGTTTCTCCATTCTCTAACTTGTTTATATCATTATGCATTCATGGATTCCTCTTTTATTCAATGGATTTCCATGATTCATTACCATCGTTATTTAACACTCAAATTGTCCCAGATTTGTCCAGTGGAACCCCCTTCAAGCTGAGTTTTCTAATCTTTTGAAATGTCCCCATCATTCCTTGACTACTTCCTTACGTTCTAACATAAAAGATGTACCAGACTCATTGTGTATGTTCCATGCCCTAGCCTGAAATCAGCCATTTCTCTTTTCTGTGTTTGTTTGAAATTTAGAATAGAGAGACATTGCTAACACCAAGGTTGAGGGTTCAGATCCCTGAACCGGCCAGCTGCCAAAAATCAAATAAATAAATTAATTAAATAAAATAAAGCTGACTTAGACCATTTTATGAATGTTAAAATTGTGGGAGGGAAGTATGTATTCCATCTATTTCCTTTATAGCTTTTTTTTTCTCCAAATATAATGCTCATAAAATAAATGAATAAATATGTATAGTGCTTATAGACAGAGTTAAACATTCTTTTTTTTTTTTTTTTTCCTTTTTTTGTCTTTTTTTGTGTCCGGCAACGGACCGCAACCCTCAGTGTCGCGCCCGTACCGGACCGGGACCAGCAACAGGATTGCAACCCTCGGTGCCGCGCCCACCCCTCGCTCAGCCAGTGAGCGGGAACCCGTCTGTATGTGGGATCCGAACCCTTGGCGGGAGCGCCGCTGTGCTCCCAAGCGGCACACTATAGCAGTGCGCCACTGGGCCAGCCCCAGAGTTAAACATTCTTACACAAAACGAGAAAGGTAGTAAAATGAAGAATAAGAGATCATCCATGAGTACAAGTAATTCTTTTCTTGGATGTATTAGTATAGTGTAATCCAATTACCTAAAGTTGTATGAATTGGTTTAAGTTCACAAACATATTTATTTTTTTTAATTTTAATTTTATTTTCTTAATTTTTTTCTTTTTGGTGGCTGGACAGTATGGTGTACAGAAAATATAGGAAAATGCTCAGGGCCCCTCAGATGTTCAGAATCTTGCTGAGCATTTGATATAAATATGCACATGCACCCAGGTGTTCCTTGGTTATTGTCTAATGTAATTGTGTGTGTGCATCCAGGTGTCCTGGGTTATTGACTTAAGTATTAAGGACAAGTGGCTCTGATCCACAGGGCCTCCCCACCCCTGGGATGCCCTGGGGGGGGGGCGGGGAGGCCACTACTGCTGCTAGAGGCTGTTGCTGCAGGCTGTTGCTGCCAGTGACCCAGGATACCCCGAAAGGCCACTGCCGCTGCTGCTTCTGCCGCTGAGGACTGAGCTCATGTCGTCTGCCAATGGCTCCCCGGATCTTTCCCAATTACCTAGCGTGGACCTGTGTGTGAGGGGTCTATGACCCAGCCTGGCATGTGAGGGGTCTGGTGACCCAGTTCGTACAATGGGTTTGGTCTGAGCCCTAGCCCTGACAATACAAATGGAAACTTAGTCTAACTAAAATAATAAAAGTTTTGGCTTTAGTTATGAATTCCCTAGCTATACAATTGCTTTAACAATACAATTGGCTACAATGACAGGAGTCTGACAATAACCCCAGACAGACAATTGGCTTAGTCGTATAGCAATACAACTGGCATAGTTGGCAGGATTCTGGGCAGGTAAAAGAGCCCGGCAATTAGTGTCATGGGTAAGATGCCAAGCAGGTAAAGAAGTAGAAAGCCCTTTGGGAGGAGGAGGAAATGTAGCTACCCTTGAGTATGTGGTGCTCAGTTGCCGCTTTCCTGTTGACTGGGGTCTGTCTGGCTGTTGGTTGCTGTACTGCGAGCCAACATGGACCAGAATCCCCATGAAGCAGCACAGTTTCAAGACTTGCAGCAGAAAGCAGACAGGTTGGAAATGCGAGTACATGCCCTGGAGGCTGAAGTACAGCAACAGGTCATCACTGCTTCCAACACTGGGGATGACGATAAACCTGATGGTGATTTGGGGGAGACTGTGTGTCTCCTGGAATGACCTGGTGCCTATCAGAAAATGAAACACAAGCAGCCTATAGGACCGGGCAGACCAGGAGGCAACCCACAGGTGACCCAATTCACTAACTATGTCCCATATACCCAGGTTGAATTGGTTGGCTTGGGGAAACAGTAAAGCAGCAGAAGCAGGGAGATCCCCTGGCTGCTGCAGCTATGGGACTTAGGGGTGGATGGTGTGATGTGTTCTGGAGACGATGTAGTAAACAAATGTCACATTTGTCTGAAGGCAGATGGCTTGCCAGGTGCCACTTAAACCCGATGGCTCTCCGGGTGCCATATAAACCCAAGAAAGCAGATGGTTCAACAGGTGCCATATAAACCCGGGAAAAGAATGCCACGTGCAGATGGGTAGAGGACCTGAGGATGGGTGCCCCTGCAGAATTTCAAGTATGTTTTTACCTGGTAAAGTTAGCCTCCATTACCACATGTCTTTCTCTGGCAGCAGTAACAGAATAGCCACAGATATGCATAAGGGCAGGGCAGCCACTCCCTGGTGAAGTGGGCAAATGCAGCTGTTCAAACTGTGTGGGTGAATGCTGAACTGCCAGAGACTGTGAGTGAGTGGCAGGAGTATGCCAAGCTGATTCAAGTAATTCAGGAGCCAGCGAGGGGGCAGCTAGATACTAATAGCCCAGGCCCTGAGGGGATTTCAGAAGCTTGGAAGGGCGCCCCTCCCATCATAGGCCTGGAGGCCTAAGAGAACTGAGTTTCTCCAGAGGACAGACCTGGGGTGCTGCTGCCCTCAGGAACCTGCTCCTGGCATTTCAGCTGCCCTGGCTGGACCGGGTCTGCCTCAGGTGGCCCCAAGTGTGGTTCGTGCAGCAGCTCTGGAGAGCACAAGCCGGAAACCTTGGTGGCAGCTGCATTGTATTGAGTCTGCAGGCCAGCAGAATGTGAGAGCAGTGGAGGCATGGCAGCCTCCACCTGGATTTTAGAAGATGTATGAAGAAGCTGGGGACTCAGGCAGAGACGTGCTGCAGGGGTGGAGCCACTGAGGAGGTTATCTGCAGAGCAATGTGGAGTGGGGTCAGAGCCCCTACAGAGAACCCCCACTGAGGAAATGTCTACTGGAGCCAGGACAGCTGGGCTGCCACCAGGAGCCCACAACTGTGGGGCTGCTGACAACATGCAGAACCAGCCTGGAAAAGCCACAGGCACCAGGGCAGCTCCATGGGCTGCACCTGGCGGAGCTGTAGGAGTGAAGTTGCCCAATGCTTTGGGGGACCAGATGCCCCAGTGTGCTTAATGTTTGCCCTGTTTGGGTTTTGGATTTGTTTGGGGCCTGCTTCTCTTTCCTGGTCTATTCCTCCCTTCTGGAATGGGAACGTGTACCCAATGTCTGTCCCACTGTATGTCAGAAGTAGATAAACTTGTTTGTGACTTTTGCAGGTACACAGCTGACAGAAGTTTTGCCTTTAGTCTCAGATGAGACTTTGGACTTTTGAGTTGCTGCTGCAACAATCTAAAGACTTTTGGGACTGTTGGGATGGAATAGGTTATGTGAATGCAAGGGTCATTTATCCTCACTTAGGGAACGTCACAGAAGATTCTGAATGAGTGGATTGTATGGCGAGGGACCCTGAAGGGTTGGATTGTAGGGAAAATACAGGAAAATGGTCAGGGCCCCTCAGATATTCAGAATCTTGCTGAGCATTTGATGTGAATATGCATGTGCACCCAGGTGTTCCTTGGTTATTGTTTAATGTAATTGCACATGTGCACCCAGATGTCCTGGGTTATGGACTTAAGTATAAAGGACAAGTGGCTCTGATCCATGGGACCCTGCACCCATGGGATGCCCCCCCGGGGGGGGGGGCTATGGGGAGGCCGCTACTGCTGCTGGAGGCTGTTGCTGCAAGCTGTTGCTGCCAGTGCCCCCAGGATGCCCTGAGAGGCCACTACCACTGCTGCTTCTGCTGCTGCTACTGCTAAGGATTGAGCTCATGTCATCCACCAATGGCTCCCGGGATCTTTCCCACTTACCTAGCATGGACCTGCATGTGAGGGGTCTATGACCCAGCCTCGCATGCGAGGGGTCTGGTGACCCTGTCTGTACAATGGGTTTGAAGGGTCTGAGCCCTGGCCCTGACAATACAAATGGAAACTTAGTATAACTAAAATAATAAAATGTTTTGGCTTTAGTTATGAGTTGCCTAGCCATACAATTGCTTTCATAATACAATTGGCTATGATGGCAGGAGTCTGACAATAGCCCCAGCCAGACAATTGGCGTAGTCACATAGCAATACATATGGGGATCCAAACCCTTGACCTTGGTGTTATAACACTGCACTCTAACCAACTTAGCTAACTGGCCAGCCCAAGTTCACAAATATATACATCCAAATGGAGTAAAGGACAACAGCTATATGAATCAAAAGTAGGTCCAACAATTGTGCATTTTCGATCTTCTTGTTTTTATTTTTATTTTCGGTGCCTGGGTGGTATAGGGATTGAAACCTGGACCTCGGTATTATCAATACCACACTCTAACCAACTGAGCAAACCAGCCAGCCCTAATATTCTTGTTTTTAAACCTTCCTTTCTAACCTTTGTTTAGGCCAAAACACTTCTTAAAACAGAAATACTGTTGACAGCCTGACATTCAGCTGGACAGCACGAACCAATTTGACAACCATTTATTACATGTAGGTTAAGTGCCAGGTATTGTGTTAAATTTTGAGGATACAGGATATGTACACCATCTTCAAGGAGTATTCATTTAGCAGGGTGGAGACTGATAAGTTTCATTCATTCAGTTTTTAAATTTTTCAACAGATATTTATTGTTGCAGGCAGAATGTTAGGTGATGGAGTACAAGAACAATGGTGGATAAGACAGGAAGTCCCAGTCCTCAAGGAACTTGTATTCTTTGAGAACGAGACAAGAGAAAAACAGACATATACCAGGGTACTTTAAAAAGTTCATGGAAGGGCCGGCCCATGGCTCACTGGGGAGAGTACGGTGCTGATAACACCAAGGCCACGGGCTCGTATCCCATATAGGGATGGCTGGTTCACTCACTGGGTGAGTGTGGTGCTGACAACACCAAGTCAAGGGTTAAGATCCCCTTCCCGGTCATCTTAAAAAAAAAAAGTTCATGGAAAGATTCTTATATCTTTTGATTCTCATATAAATACGTGTGTGTGTGTGTGTGTGTGTGTGTGTGTGTGTGTGTGTGTGTGTGTATGAGGATACTTCAAGAAGTTTGTGGAAGGGCCGGCACGGTGGCGCACTGCTACAGTGCGCCGCTTGGGAGTGCGACGGTGCACCCACCAAGGGTTCGGATCCCACATACAGACCGGTTCCCGCTCACTGGCTGAGCGAGGTGCGGGCACAACACCGAGGGTTGCGATCCCGTTGCCGGTCCCGGTCCGGTACGGGCGCGACACTGAGGGTTGTGATCCGTTGCCCGTCACGAAAAAAGACAAAAAGGAAAAAACAACAACAACAACAACAACAACAACAAAAAAAGTTTGTGGAAGCCAACCAAAATAGCTCAGTTGGGAGAGCATTAGATCAGAAAGTTTGTGGAAAAATGAAATTAAAAGATAATATGCAGTTTTATAACACCAAGATCAAGGGTTCGGATCCCAGTACTGGCCAGCTGCCAAAAAAAAAGGTAATACAAATCTTTGTATGAACTTTTTGAAGACTAAGTGTATAAATTGCAAGTTGTAGTATATGCCATAAAAGAAACAGATAAAGGGCAGAGGAGTATCAGCTGTGGAAGGTGGGGTACAAGACATAACATCTTTCAGAATGGGTAGTCAGGGAAAGCGTATCAGTAGGAACTCTCACCTGGTAGTCACAGAACACCAACCAAAGATGACATAAACAGGGAAGATATATATTAATTCACCTAATGGAAGCCTGTACATAGGTAGTACTGGAGTTGGATCATTTAGGGAACACGAGGAAGTCAAAACCCTGGTCAAAACTTCTCTGCAGTTTCTCTTTGGTTTCTGCACCTGGTTTCTAGATGGCTGCTGCAACTCCAGACACCCTAGGCTAACTTAACCATATGGATGTCCTCTCCCTGCTGCTCCTTTCATCAGGCAAAATTATTTTCCCCAGAAACCCCACCATACTTTCCCAACTTCTCACTGTTCAGAACTGAGTCACATGGCCATCTGTTACCTGATCCCATAGAATTACAGTACCATGACAGTCTTTAAAAAAAAATGATGACCGGTAAGGGGATCTTAACCCAGACTTGGTATTGTCAGCACCACGCTCTCCCAAGTGAGCTAACCGGCCATCCCTATATAGGGGTCCGAACCTGTGGCTTTGGTGTTATCAGCACCACCCTCTCCCAAGTGAGCCATGGGCCAGCCCAGAACCATAAGAGTCTTAAAACAATGAAGGTTTATCCCCTGGGACCGAAGGATAGGAAGCACTTCCTGAACTGTCTACCCATCAAAATCAGTGCTCTGTAGCAAAGAATGGCTGTTGGGAGTGTGGACCACAATGTCTGATGGGGAAACCTCTCTACCTTGGTGATGCTTGAGAACTAAAAGAAAAGGAATTAGCATGTAGTGCAAAGGTGGGATAAGGAGAAACATTCTGGGCAGACAAAAAATGTGCAAAGAAACTAAGGCACTAAAGAGCTTTGTGTGTTAGGGAAATTAAATAAATATAAACATACACACACTGAGTTAATTAAGTATTAAAGGTGTATTGGAGCTGGCTGATTAGCTCAATCGGGAAAGCATGGTGCTGATAACACCAAGGTTAAGGGTTCATATCCCTGACTGGCCAGCCACAAAAAAAAAAAAAAAGTATACTGATTGAAGCTTCAATAAAGCTTTTCCCTTTTTTTTTTTTTGTCTTTTTTTTTTTACTTACCGGTAACGGGATCGCAACCCTCAGTGTCGCGCCTGCACCGCGCTCAGCCAGTGAGTGGGAACCGGTCTCCACATGGGATCCGAACCCTCGGTGGGAG